CCAGAAGCCAGCGACTGATCTGCCTCGCCTGGAAAGAGCGCAATGATGGTGCCAACTTGGGCCAGTGAAGCAACGTCCTCCACAACTAGATTGAAGAACAAAATGACAGCAACTTGTCTGTTTCCCTTCCCCAATTCCCCAGCACTGTTCCCATCCCCCCAATTCCCCAATTAAAATCTTAAAAACAAAACCAAAAAAACAAAAACTACCACTTGCAAGTTTAGATGTGGTATCAAAGAAAAATATCCACAATTATCTAAAAGACCATTAAAATGCTTTTCCCCTTTCCAAAGAAGTATCTTTGAGACCAGGTTTCCTTCCTATACTTTTATCAATCAACACCATTATGCAGTAGATCCGATGCAGAAGCAGATATGAGAATCCAATTGTCTTCAGTTAAGCCAGTCATTAAAGAGATTGACAAATAAAACGACGTACTACTCTTTCCGTGCAAATTTTTGGGTGGAAAATATACTTTTATTCCTAAAAATGTTATTTATGTAAACATTTAATAGGTTGATTACTCTTTTGTAGTGAATCAATATATATTTTAAACATTTCTCAATACGGTAAATATGGAAAAATACAGTCCACACAAATAAGAGCTCTTTAAGGTTCTCAATAATATGTAGCAATGCAAGTGGGTCCTGAGAACAAAAAATGTGAGAACCGCTGCTTTAGGATGCCTTCCTCTTCTCCTGCTGGCCAATCCCAGTGCAGAGAATTAAGATACGTGCTGTTCAATACTTGCCTCAAAAAATCTTCCCAGATGACCCACACTATAGTCACTGTCCCTATTCAGCATCACCTCGTCAACACGTTGTTCGGGTTTCCCCTGCTGCTTTCAAGCCTCTCGTTCTGGGCAGTTACTGGAAGAGAGAATAAAGGAACTCGCACACTTTCTCTAGGCCGGACAGCCCCTCCATACTCACCCTCTCTGAGGAAGAGTCTGGCTATGCGCCCGCATGGTTCACTGCAGGGCCACTACAATCTGGAGCGGCCTAAAGGGGCGGGGAGAGACCCAGGGAAATTGCGGGAACTCGGAAATTCTTAATGTTGAAAGAGCGGACGGGCCTCGGGAAGCCTCCGATTCGATAGGGGACTTATGGCAGGAGAAGAGGACCTGGGGATAGCCTCGCGCCTCTCCTCCCACCAGGTGAGGCGAGGCCTGATAATAACGCCCCTTCGCGTCCCCACCGCTCCCAAGCTCCTTGTTCCACCCTCTGCCTCGAAGCAGAGCGCCTGGCGCCGCCGGCTAAGGCCCTTCACGACAGTCCCGGCGCTTTCCGGCCGGCCGCTCCAGGCGGATGCGTCGGGGAGGCGGAGCTTAGGAGCGGCTCCTGACGACGCACGTCCCTCAGACGCCGCCGCGGTGGCTGACTTGCCTCTGCAGAGCCATGGCGGCGTCCGTCCGGTCCGCGCGCGCTCCGCCGGGCACTGGTAGGCTCAGAGCCCAGCCCAGCGGCGGCGAGAGAGAAGGAGAGGGAGGGGCGCTGGTCTCTGTGGGGCGGGGGCGGGAGGACTGCTTTCTGGGACCTGGGGAAGGGGTTCTCCGTTGTGAAGGGACTTGCAGAGAGAGGGGTTCCAGTCTGCGGCTTTGGGGTGATGATGGCATTCGACTAGCGATTAGGGGCTGTAGTTTGAGAGGTTGTGGGGCACTGACTAGTTCTGGAGGAGGGGCTCCTCTGCAGGAATGTTTCTGGTAGTCAGAGTTCAGTGGGAGAACGCAGGTAGGCAAAAGCTCTGGGGCTGTTGGGGCTGTGATTTCTGTGATTTCAGGAGGAGCCTATGTTAAAGCACCTCCACCCTCACACTCAACGCACACACACTTTCTCCATTTATTGGTTGCAGATAAAGTACAGAAAGGCAAGGCTGGACATACCTCAGGGCCCAGTAAAGCCAGCCACATGGGGAAACTCTTGGGTTTTGAGTGGACGGATGTGTCCAGCTGGGGAAAGCTGGTGACTCTGCTGAATCGACCAACGGATCCTGCAAGCCTGGCTGTCTTCCGTTTTCTCTTTGGTAAATCCACTTTCTGGGAGGGGCCAGTGTGGTTGGTTGGGAGAATGACAACCATCTCCTGTCCATTTCTTAGTTACTTAGTGGAGTTACCCCTCTTTTTCTCAAAGCTGAAGATACGGATATTCTGGAGTTTAGGATCAAATCCAGCATTGTCTCCTCTGATTAGGGGTTGGAGACCAGAAATGCTTTGATCTAAGGCTATAGGAAATATAGAGGCAGAGGAACAGGGACCCATTTTGCTTGTGTCATGAAGTTGCGCAGTAACTATGCTAAGGGCTAGACTTCAGAGAAATGGCAGGTATGACACTGGCTGTGACTCCCTAATCCAGAGCTTCCTAACTCATAGGCCACAGCATGTGTGCTTGAAATGGGTTACAGAAGTGCTGAGATATTACTCCCCTTAGCCCAGTGGTCCGCAACTGGAGGCGTTTTTACTTCCCAGGGGAGACACTTGACAATGTCTGTAGATATTTTTATTTGTCATAACTGGGGGAGAAGGGGAATAGGTGGCTACTGGCATCTACATAGGGACCAGAGATGCTGCTAAATGACCTGTGATGCACAGGATAGCCTCTTCCAGCAAATAATTAACCAGCTCCAAATGTGAATAGTCCTGAGGTTGTGAAACCCTGCCTTAACTGGAGCTGGCTTCCTTTTGATCTGAGTGGCCCCTTTTGTTTATCCCAGTGTAAGGTCAAATACTACTGTTTTCTAGGTGTGCCAGGAAGTGGAAAAGGTTGAGAAGCACCACCCTAGAGCTCTTTCTGTAGCCCAATAGGACAGACCTCTGTAAATATAACTATCAAAACCTGAACAGCTTTTATAGCATTTTGTACGCTTCTCTCACTTAGTCCTCTCTGTAACCTTGTGAAATACAATATTATGAGCCCCCTTTTACAAACAGGAAATTGGCTCAGTGAGGTACAGTGGCTGATCACATAACTGGCATAATGCCTATAGCACAGCGTAGGCACTCAGTAATTATTGCTGAATGAATGAATCAATGGCAGAGCCAGGGTTAGGAAAGAAGTCTGACCCTGGAGCTGGATGCACTCGGCTGTATTCGAATGTATTTCACTGCTTCCTTTGCCAAGACCTAATGGCCCCTTTTCCAATTGCCTTCTCAGGATTGTTGATGGTGCTGGACATTCCCCAGGAGCGGGGGCTTAGCTCCCTAGACCGAAGATACCTGGATGGGCTGGAGGTGTGCCGCTTTCCCTTGCTGGATGCCCTGCAGCCACTGCCACTTGACTGGATGTATCTTGTCTATACCATTATGTTTCTGGGTGAGGCAAACTGTGGGAGAGAGATGGGAACATTGATTGGTCTACCTAAAACACAGAAATTCAAAGCATGCTGGTGAATGAGCCAGGTCTTGGGCTCCTTAGTTCACTTCTGCTGTGACTGCTAATTTCACCCTTCTGACCTGTGTGTCATCTGAGCTGTGACTCCATAGCTCTGTTTAAAAATATTAAAATAACATTTAATTTTCATTTAGTTTTAGCTAATTATAAAATGTCTGATGACTTTTCTTAATCCCACCCACAGCCTGTCCCAGGGGAACTGGGCCTGTGGTGGTGACCCTTTGACTTCTTAATCCTCTCCCCCCACCAATTCCAGGGGCACTGGGCATGATGCTGGGCCTGTGCTACCGGATAAGCTGTGTGTTATTTCTGCTGCCATACTGGTATGTGTTCCTTCTGGACAAGACGTCATGGAACAACCACTCCTATCTATATGGTTTGTTGGCCTTTCAGCTGACATTCATGGATGCAAACCACTACTGGTATGAGTCTAGGGGAAAAGAGGGGAGGGGTCGGCTGGGGCAGCATGGTTACCAGAGGTAGAGCCCATTGAGGTCCTAGAATTTGCCCCAGGAAGCATATTTTCTTTTTTTTTTTTCTTTTTCTTTTTTTTAAAGAATTTTATTGGTGAATTGGGGGGATGGGAACAGTGCTGGGGAATTGGGGGAAGGGGGACAGACAAGTTGCTGTCGTTTTGTTCTTCGGTCTAGTTGTGGAGGATGCTGCTTCACTGGCCCAAGTTGGCACCATCATTGCGCTGAAGCATATTTTCAACCATGTTTTGCAAAGTGTGGTTACAAGATCACACTTTGGTTTGGATGGATTGGGGAGGGGGAAAGGTCAGTGAGATTGGAGTACTTGGGATAACAAAAAACAAAATGGCTCCATTCGCTCCCCTTTACTCTTTCCATATCTCCCCAGTTACCTTGATCTATCTACTTCCTGTAATCCTCTTAGAGAGAAGAAGAGAAGATTAAAGCCAGATATAGCTGTTTTCAGATACTTCGAGGATGGTCATGTGGAAGAGGGATCAGACTTTCTCTGTGTGAGCCCAGAGAGGCAGAGCTAGAGCCAAGAGTAGAAGTTGCTGTGAGGCAGAGTCATGTCAGAAGGCAAAGGCCCAACAGGGCTGCTCAGCAGTGCTGTCCTGGGAGGGTGTAACCCTCCTCCACCTCTGGTTTAGGTGACAGTCTTTCAGGGGAGGTGGAGAAGGGATTTGGAGACAGGGCGGCAGGGCAGATGATCTTTAAGGATTCGTCCCATTATTAAGTGAAAAGCAAGTATGAGATCTCAGTAAGATGGGTATAGGAAAAAAATCTCAAGCATTGAATTTGTTATTGATATATCAGTCATTAATTAAGTTTCATTCATTAATACATACATCCACATACCCCTTTTGTAAACCTTAAACTCACTCAGAATGGCTAGCTCTGATCATGTAGGATTAAGAGGCAGTTTTGACAGAATACCCCTGAAAAGTTTTATTTTTATGACTTACACAATTGATAAAATACCTGTTACTTAGGGCTTTCCACTGCCAGGCACTATACTAAACACTTTTAATTTTTCCTCATTATAACCGCATGAGGTCCATAGTGCTGTTCCCATTTTATAGATGATGACAGTAAGGCTTAGAGAAGTAAAGGATTTGCCTAAGGCCACATAGCAGATGAGAGGCACAAGTGAGAATCCAGGTCTCCTCAACTGCAGACTTCAGTGCTCTGGGCAGCGTAATCTGCCCCTTTCCCAACTTCTGGGCTCATTCATTGTGTTCTTAAAAACCTGCTTTGCTTCTGCACCTCCCCCGCAGAATACATCTAGTCTTAGTGCCCTGGGTGTATTAGTTCTTTCCCAATGCTGTTAGTAAATACCTACTGGCACTAGATCCCGGCTTCCAGGTCTATGAAATGCCTGTTTGTTTTGAATAGTGAAAAAAATTTTTGAATGCACTATATAGATTTACATATACGTTAAGCTTTTCAAACACTCCCTCAGATTCATTCTTTTTTCAAATTCAGTCATTCTAGCATTGTAGTCTTTCCTGATATGTTCCATTAGGACAAATTAATTTGCTAACTAACTAATGGTAAACACCGAACTTTTTGTTGTTACAAATCACTAGTGAAATTCCTGTTACGAGTAAAATAATCACTGTTACAATTTGCTCATATACTTCTAAATGGCCTCAGAATAGCCCAGAGGACCAGAGAGAATATGGGAAATGTCCTGGAGTGGATAGATGATTACATTTAAAAAGGAAGGTGGGACTGTAACTGGACTAAGAAGCTGTTCTCAGTGCTTACCTTCCTCGGTGTAGGTCTGTGGACGGCCTGCTGAATGCCCAGAAACGGAATGCCCATGTGCCCCTTTGGAACTATGCTGTGCTGCGTGGCCAGGTACGGGATTTGAGGAAAGAGGGAGGTGTTCTTTGACAGTCATTGGTCAGCATGGCTATCCCACTGCCAGACTGTACTCGGCTTCTCTGGATCTTCTCTTTTTCCCCTTTTGCTGGAAGGCTAGGCTGGCTTTTCCATTGTATCCAGCCCCCGATCTCTGGATTCTCTCACCTTGTCATGGGAAGAAGAGAGCTTCATCCCTGCCAGATTAGAATCCTCATGAGATAGAGAATAACGTCTATGCTTCATGACGTTCCTTGGTATCTAATACTGTGCCTGACATTGGTAGGATAACAATAGATACTTGTTGGATGAGTGAATATCTAAGATGAGTGAATCGAAGAATGGATCTAATCTTCCTTGGGCCCTGAAATGAGATGTGAGTCATTTTATTTTTGGCTGTAGAAAACAAGGTTCTTTTTGTTTGAACATTTGTTTTGCAATCTGTGTTTGCAGATCTTCATTGTGTACTTCATTGCGGGTGTGAAAAAGCTGGATGCAGACTGGGTAGAAGGCTATTCCATGGACAACCTTTCCCGGCACTGGCTCTTCAGTCCCTTTAAGTGAGTGGTAGTCAGGGCAGAGGCCTCACTGAGGTGTGGGCACAGAGTGGGTGACTCACCTCTGTCAGGTCTGCAGTAATGGCTGCTGTTCCTTCTTTACCTGAATTTGCTACATGCTTTCCTCTGTCCACTCATCTCCCTATTCAGCAGAAGGCAGAATAGATGATATCAAAAGATCTAGGCTTAGCTGCCCCTGGGAGACTTATGGTATGGGTGGGCACGAAGGGAAAGGAAGTAAAACAGAGAGGAAAGCCAGAACTAGGTGACTTGGTGAATGAGTCAGTGCCTCCAGCGGTTGCCATGGGTGGTGCCTGTGTCCTTGGGTTGCCACCCCAGCCTCTCGCCAGATTCCTCAGCCAGTGTACTGAGAAGGTGGACAGTCAGTGTCCCAGCTCTGACCAAGCCAGTGTTACCAACTCTACAAAGCAGAGGCGTACCTCTCTGGTTTCTCTCTTCCACCCATTTCTTCTTTCCTCTTGTATTACTTTGTTTTTTTTTCCACTTCTCTGTTATTTCCCAGTTCCTATAGTTTGACTTCATTATGATGTTAGTCAAACAGTCACCTTTTAAAGTTTCTTCTCATTTACTTCCTCCATGAAGAACCTGCCCGCCACAGCACATGCAATTCTCAATCAGATTTGCCCTTGATTTTTACATAGGGTATGCTGAAAACAATTGGACACCTCAAGTGTGTGGAAATGTAAAGGGGTAGGAAACCTCTACCACAGGGTGTTTCTGTGCAGAGTTCTTCCACCCGCCTGCTGGGGCAGATCCTTTGATGAGGACAGGGCAGCAGAGGCACATTTGCTGTGAACGTGCCATGAAAGCTGCATTCTCCAGTGGTCTGGGCCTGACCTTTGCTTCCGGTGTCCGCAGACTCGTGTTGTCTGAGGAGATGACTAGTCTCCTAGTGGTGCACTGGTGCGGCCTGCTGCTTGACCTCTCAGCCGGTTACCTGCTCTTCTTCGATGCATCAAGACCTATTGGCCTCCTTTTTGTGTCCTACTTCCACTGCATGAATTCCCAGCTTTTCAGCATTGGTCAGTACCTATAGTCTGGTAGTAAATAGGAAATCACAGGTTTGCATGGAGTGACTAGCCAGAAGCATCGTTTGGGTGTGGGAGGTGGTGATGGGAACAGTAGTTAAATTGAGCCAGATGCAGTCACTGAAATGGAAATAAACCGGCAGGAAGATTGGGGCTTCTGGGCTTAGCTAGTACGTTGTGCAGTAAGGAATCTCTAGGAAGTAAGTATCCTTTAGTTAAGAACTTCTTTCATCATAAATGGAATACCTGGGAGAAGCTTCCTAAGGGAAGGGGGTTAAAGGGATTTCCCACTTTCACCCTAGTCTAACCCGTGAAATGCTTATGTTCTCCATTTTTCTAGGTATGTTCCCCTATGTCATGCTGGCCAGCAGCCCTCTCTTCTGCTCCCCTGAGTGGCCTCGGAAGCTGGTATCTCACTGCCCCAAAATGCTGCAAGAACTGCTGCCCCTCAGGGCTGCCCCTCAGCCCAGTGCTTCCTGCTTGTATAAGAGGAGCCGGGCCAAAGGTGGCCAGAAGCCAGGGCTGCGCCATCAGCTAGGTGCTGCCTTCACCCTGCTCTACCTCCTGGAGCAGCTCTTCCTGCCCTATTCCCATTTCCTCACCCAGGTATGTATAGGCTGGGGGTTAGCTTGGAAAGTGGCAGAGGTGACAGCCGAAGGGAAAGCATGGGGCTGGCTTTGTTTCCCATTCTCAGTAGAGGATGGGATTAGCGTGAGAGCCACTGAGCTGATTTCCTCTGCCCTGCCTTCTCAGGGCTATAACAATTGGACAAACGGGCTGTACGGCTATTCCTGGGACATGATGGTGCACTCGCGCTCTCACCAGCATGTGAAGATCACCTACCGTGATGGCCATACTGGCGAGCTGGGCTACCTTAACCCTGGGGTGAGATGTCTGATGCTGGCAGTTTACTGTTCTTTAGCGCTCCTTTGAGCTTTGGGATCTGGTTTGGTCCTAAAGACAGTTATAAAATAAAATAAATTTGGGTCACTCTGCCCTTTCTCAGGAGCCAGGTTGAACCTTCTTTTATGTGGGTTGAAATAGGTCAGTGTCATTCACTTCCTTGAATCGAGATTAGATTTAAGAACGGTAAGTACCACCACTAGCCCAGCAATTGAAAAATTCTTCCCCAAAGACAAGTTCATTTTTTTTTTCCTGGTCAAAACGAACAGCAGGCGGGGATCTCCTTGTGCCACTGGTATTGCATGACTCACTCAGGAGGTCGCTAATCATGAGGAGGGACTAATACGGGGGTTTGGGACAGGTATTCACACAGAGCCGGCGATGGAAGGATCACGCAGACATGCTGAAGCAATATGCCACTTGCCTGAGCCGCCTGCTTCCCAAGTACAATGTCACTGAGCCCCAGATCTACTTTGATATTTGGGTCTCCATCAATGACCGCTTCCAGCAGAGGTGGGCAAGGGGAGCAGAGAAGGGGGAAAGTGAAGTCCAGCTCCTTTTGCCAAAATAAATAGCCCCTGCTCCCCAGTGTTGTCTTGCTTGAAAGGCTGTGGTCTCTGGTGCATGACCCTGTTCATCTGGTTGTGGGCATAGCTATTAATAATTGCTTCCGGCAGGGGGCACCATCACACAGGAGAAAAGGTACTTGTTCTGGAAACTTAACACAGTTCTTCTTCTCCGGTGGCCACTAATCCTCATTCTTCCCAGGGCTCCAGCACCTCTTTCCCCTCTCTTTCTGCCCCAGATTAGTAATAACACGCTGCCATAGGCCATGTCTTCTATCTGGAAACCCTGTTCCCTCTATCTGGGAACGGTGATAAAAGAATCAGAACTGGACAATGGTGGGTAGGTGGCAGTGCCCTCCGTAACACATGGTTTTCTTTTCTAAGGCTTTTTGATCCTCGTGTGGACATTGTGCAGGCAGCCTGGTCCCCTTTCCGGCGTACACCTTGGCTGCAGCCGCTGCTGATGGACCTGTCTCCTTGGAGGGCCAAGTTACAGGAAATCAAGAGCAGCCTGGACAACCACACTGAGGTGGTCTTCATCGCAGACTTCCCTGGTACAGAACAAAGCAAGGGCAGGCTTTGCTGTCTTTCCTCCTGGCTTCCTTGGCCAGGGACATGGCATGTGGGGGAAGGAGAAAGGGACGCTTCTGGTGGGAGGAATGTTTTTAAAATCTGAGGGGTGTAGTGGTGAAGGTGTGACGTGTCTGTTCTGGGCGGGGAGTGAGTTCCCCATGGCATGGGTTGGGGAATTTTGTTGCCCTGTCAGGTCTGCACTTGGAGAATTTTGTGAGTGAAGACCTGGGCAACACTAGCATTCAGCTGCTGCAGGGGGAGGTGACTGTGGAGCTGGTGGAAGAACAGAAGAACCAGACTCTTCAGGAGGGAGAGAAAATGCAGGTATTTTGCTGGAATTAATAGTGGCAGAAAAGTTTAGATGAGTGGAGTTAATTTATTATAGACTCTAAATGCTTGACCTTAGCAGTAATACAGTGGGGGCTCAAAAAGCAAGGGCCTCTGGGGCTGTGAATAGCCTCATCGTAGGATTCTAGAGGTCAGTTGCTTTGGACTCCAAAACCCAAGAAGAAAGATGCCTGGGGGGTGGGCAGCGTAGGGAGCCCACAGGCTGGCTAGGGAAAGTTTCAAGAGTGAAATGTATCCACTTCTCCTCCCTTGTCAGTTGCCTGCTGGTGAGTATCATAAGGTGTACACAGTATCACCCAGCCCTTCCTGCTACATGTACGTCTATGTCAACACTACAGAGGTTGCACTGGAGCAAGACCTGGCATATCTGCAAGAATTAAAGGAGAAGGTGGAGAATGGGAGTGGTGAGTGTGTAAAGATTTGGGTGGGGAAAAAAAAAAAAAGATTTGGGTGGAGATAATCCCCAGTAACAGGAAGTCAGGGTTATGAATGAAGATCTAGCCATTAAAGAATGAACTTCAGGTCTCTAGCTGGTGAAAGGGGAGTTCTAAGAATGATCTCTTTCAGTGATTCCTCTTTTTTGCTCTTTTTCCGGCAGAAACAGGACCTCTACCACCAGAGCTGCAACCTCTGCTGGAAGGGGAAGTACAAGGGGGCCCTGAGCCAACACCTCTGGTTCAGACCTTTCTTAAACGCCAGCAAAGGCTCCAGGAGATTGAACGCCGGCGAAATACCCCTTTCCACGAGCGATTCTTCCGCTTCTTGCTGCGAAAGCTCTACATCTTTCGCCGCAGGTAAGTTTTACTCCCAACAGTACTTGTCAACAGTAACTTTTCTCTGGTGAGGATTAACAGTAGGGACTCTCTCCCAGGGAAGGACAATCTAGGGCTAAGTATCTTTTTCCTTCTTAATTCTCCTCTCCTACTTATGGAAGAGTAAATGACCTGTGTCTGATGGCCTGCTGTCTTCTTCTGCCTCAGCTTATCGCCACCCTCTCTGTGGGTTATTCCCACCTCACCCTGGAATCCTCTACCAGACTATGAGATCAGATAATTAAGTTCGCGAACTCATCCTAGAAAAAGTGCTGCATACCTCATTGCTGAATATCACTATGGTCGCCTTTGCAGTACTCCCCTTGGGAAGCTATGCACTGACACCAGTGCGTAGTCCACCCTTCAAAGCAGTTTTGGAACTCTTTTTCTGGAATGGCCATCAGAGCTGTTGTCGTATTACCCTTGATGTCCTGAATGTCATCACAATGCCTTTCTTTCAATATTTCCTTTGTCTTCACGTAAAGAAAGTCATTGGGGGCCAGATCAGGTAAGTAGGGAGTTCCAGTGGTGTTCCAATACAGTTGTTTACTGGCTAAAAACTCCCTTACAGACAGTGCCATGTGAACTGGTGCATTATCGTGATGAAAGAGCCATGAATTGTTGGCGAAAAGTTCAGGTCGTCTAATGTTTTCACACAGCCTTTTCTGCACTTACAAGTAGTAAACTTGGTTAACTATTTGTCCAGTTAATATAAATTCATAATGAATAATCCCTCTGATATCAAAAAGTTAGCAACATTGTTGCAACAAGCTCTTGAACTTAATTGTCAGACCTGTATAAGGAGTGGGTTGGCTTTCCAGTTGGCATGTGAGGGTCACTGGGAGGAGATTCTCATTTATGCCTGGGTGAGAGGAGGTAGAACCAGGTCTCCCTTAAGGACTTCAGTAGAAATTCCTGTGTTGAAACAGCAGTTTGGACTGGGTGGCCTTTTTCTTCTTTTTCAGCTTCCTGATGACTTGTATCTCACTTCGAAATCTGGCATTAGGCCGCCCTTCCCTGGAGCAGCTGGCCCAAGAGGTGACTTATGCAAACTTGCGACCCTTTGAGCCCGTTGGAGAGTCGAGTCCTTCAAACACAGATTCTTCAAATCCTAATCCTGAACCAAATTCCGTCCCTGTCCACTCAGAGTTCTGAGAGGGGCCAGACGTTGGGTACAGATGTGGGAGTAGCCATTCATGGGACCCATTACCTATGCAGTGGAAAATTTTTTAAAATACTAGATTTTTTTACATTTTTCTTTCTTGTCCATAGCTCTTGTAAATTCAGAGATGGTAGCTTAGAGGAACCAAGGAAGTAAAATAAGGATACGATTTATCGGTCCAAGGTTGAGGGGCTAAGAGGGGGTTAAAAGCAATTGAAAATGCCTTCTAGGATAAAGGGGGAGGAGTAAGATTTAATTGACTGGCTCCTTGGGGAGAGATTTAATATACCATGACAAAAACAGTAGCTCACTGTTCTCAAGTGCTTGCTATATGCTAGGCACTATGTGAAGTACCTCCTATACTACATTTAGCCCTTAATGGTGATAGTCCTATTTTACAGTTGGAGAAACTGAAGCTGAGAGGTAATGTAATTTGCTCGGACAAACCTAGTAAGGAATGGATTGATGGCTTGAACTCAAGTCTGACTTAAGGTTCTGCACCCTGCCTCTTGTAATTTTCAGAATCACTGACAATACTTCTGAAATAATGTAGCTTAAAACGTGTCTACTTAATTATGATTAGGATGGTCACCAGGTTTCTGAATGCACACATATTTTCACAATTCTGGTTCCTTCTTTTTTCTATTCTCTATACAGCCATTAATTTTCACTAGCAGTTATGACTAGTTATGTTTGTTTCATGGTTTCCAGTGATGCTGCGGCTTAGATTTCTTTCCTGTGCCCTAGACCACTATCTAGCTCCACATGGTTATGCCAGTTTTCAAACTGTTCTGAACAGAACTTACCTTCAGCCCCAACTCAAGACCTGCATCTCCTTTATTAGTGAATGGCAACTATTTGACGGAGCTGTCATCAGCCTTAACTCTTTTCCTCACATTTTATAATTTCAAGTTCCATAAATTCAACCTCATTTCTTAAACCTGTTAATCTCATCTCTACTACCTGTTGTTTCAGCCTTTATATTGTAATCTAGTTAGAGTCTAGAGCAGGGCTACCATGTTGTGCAGGTTGGGCCTGAATAAGGACACCCCACTGAAGCCGAGTGGGGCCTGGCATTAAGTCCCTAATTCATACAGGCATTGTATGGGTTGGCAATGGCTGTGCTACAGGGTATCTTGAGAAATTTAAAACGGTGTGAGGGAAAACACTGATTTTCAGTCCCTTTGCTCATCTGTGTGACATACCTCAGCACTATGTCCTTTGCTAGTAAGTTCAGCTATCTTCTGTTTCCTGACCACCACCCTCCCTTTGGTAAGAAAAGTACCCCTTCTTCACTTTGGGAGGGGACCCTCATGAAAGTACTTTTAATATAGGCAGGGTTGCTGCTTTTCCAAAACTGTTGATGTACCACCTCTGTTAACTCATTTTCCCAATGAAAATATTAGGAGTGGGATGGAGAAAGGGTGGTCTTAATACTGCTAAAAGCTGTTCAATGGAGTCAACTTGGGATATCCAGATTACAGGAAATCAGGCCTGTGCAACTGCAGCTGTTTTGGAAATGGGTAATCAGTATTTTCAGTCAGGCTTTAGTATTCCTTTTTATTCCCAGCATTTGGATCTTTTGTCCCTGATGTCACCCTTTCAAACTTTACAGAAAGGCAAGTACGGTAATCTCTTACTAACACTTCATACTTTGGTTCTCAACTATTTATAACCACTCACCCCCTGCTGTTTCATGCCTTTGCTCCTTCCTGTCTTTAAAATTCTTTTCCCAAGCTGGACAGGACAAGCACCTCTCCTTAGTCTACAAACTTGGGGGCAGGGATCTTCCTAGCAGATATTAAACCTAAACTTAAGGCCAGTTCTCTGGTATGAACCCACCAGCCTTGACACCCATTCATCCTCAATCCCCTTATTTGGCCAATGTGGTCATACTTGTCTTTAGGCAACAATGCACTGATGTCTAAAAGTTTTTTGAAACGTTCTGTGAGCTTTTCAGTGTTAGGAAAATTGAAGTTCAAGTTTTTTGAGCAAGTTAGCAGAGCTCCATTGATACTCCAGAGTTGGATTTAACTTCACCTTCCCTAACAGGTCTCTAAATTTTTAAGCCTCCTGGCAAACTCGTGTAAGCAGGAATTCCTTGGGTCTCACATTTATAGCAGGTCTAAGTAAAAAGTTGACCACCACTTGCTTTCACCCATGCTGGCATCTTGTACCAACTGGCTTGTCTATACCTTAGGGCTTATGCTCAAGAAAGGATGGTTCAAGCTATGTGTGGCTGATGAACTTGCTTCAAACTACCTTTGGAAACTTGTATCCTGTCACTTTAAATAAATTTCATTTTAGTTCATTTATTATATCTTGATTGGAAGCTGGCCCCTCAGTTTAAAAACACTTTCAAACGAATGTGTGCTTAACATGTAACTTTACACTTCTTTACAAAGACCTATGTTGTTTATTTTTTGCTACCGAAAGGAATCCAATGAGGCCTTTGTGTTTATGAAGGAAGCTGCTACAGTTGGAGAAACTGAGGCTGAGAGCTAATGTAATTTGCTCGGACAACCTTTACGAAAGGTTTCCTATAGTGGGGGAATCCTGTACTCTATCAGTGGCTTTTATGACCTTAATCTTAAGAGTTTAAAATATTATCAGCAGTACAAGAGGCTGCTGCAATAGAAAACATGCAATTTTAGTGATTGCAATGGCCAAAAAAGGCAATGCTTGACAAACCGAAATCAAATCTTGAACTTTCTTAGTGCTACGGATAAGATTTACAAACCTATTAAATGCCTGTAGTCAGGGTTGAAGTGATTTCTCTGAACCATGGGTAGAATTACAATCATTCAGGGTTAAGGAATATATTCTCAGATCATGTTCCTAACAAAACACTTTTAAAGAATAATGGACACAGTTAGGGTAGAACCTAGCGTTTTATTTAGATCTTCATTAAACTGTTGGAATTGAGAACCAGACATACGTAATAAACCTCCAAAAATAGATCCTGAAAGGCACTTTCTGCTTAGGGCAAGCAGTCATGGAATAAGCATGTAAACAAGCTGGCTTCTCTGTACCACACCAGCCAAGTCAGCTTTCTCCATGGCCAGCTGCACCAGCTCTGCCCTCCCTTGTTAACACCAGCCAGACCCCCTGTAGGTCTAACCCAAGGTTTTTCTGTAGGACACCTTGGCCTACCTGGGAATGCTGGAAACATATTAAAGGAATCATGGTGTTGAGGAAAAAAAAGAAAAATCTTTTAAAAGCTGCCATCTGAGGTGATGGCTTCTCTGTACTTACGCCACACCCCAGAATACAATAAATAAGCAATTAGAAAATGTTCAAGTATGAAGGGATTTCCTCCTCCCCGCCAAAAGCACTGCAGTCTGAAGGAAGCTGGTTTCTCTGTAGCTACACCAGCTGTTCAGAAAGCTCATTGGACCTGGTTTTGAAAATAAAACAAAGTTAAAACCCTGGGAGGAGTTATTGTGCAGTGTGGAGTACTTAGTCTTTCTTATAAAGAAAAAAAAAGTTATCTGGTACCAAAGTGTGCAACCTACAGACCCTCAGGTACTGCCCTGTTACCTTTCCGTATGACATCACAAAGGTGCCAAGTGCCTGTTTTTCTAGAGCTAGGAGTTGGTGGTTTGGCTAGTGCTGAAACCATGCATAGGATTGGTTTACTAAATAAAAACCTTATTACGTACGTCCTCCAAAAGACAGCTGAGTAAGTGGAGAGATTTGATTTGGTGCTGTTTAAGAGCTGGCAATTAAGAGCATAAGCACCAGGGAGATGGTTTAATGGTAACTGCCTTTTCTTTTTTTAAATGTCAGGCTAGAGCTCCAGCTGGAACTTGCGTTACATGCAAGAAATGATTGAATAGGGAACACTCCCTGACAAAGAGAGCTACATGATTAGAAATGGATGAAGTTATAGGGAAGATAAGGGAAAGCTTCACATTCAGAATAGAGCTCAGGACATTACAAATTCATGCTGACAGGGCTGTGGCGTTGCCAGACAGAGGCTATAATGGAACTACAAGTACTTTACGTGCACATTACAAGGACATTTTTAGCATCTGGTGGGAAAGTCAATGCAATTAGAATTTTAGGGGTTTGAGTGATAGGGAACAAAGGTTCAATTTCAAAGCGTTATTTACTACAGTGTTGTTGGTTTGTTTCTAGGCAGTTACATGGATCACCTATGCTCACTAAATTCATTATAATGGTGAACAAAACACCTAGGGACAGAATAGCAAGCCGAACTTACAGTCCCCCACACAAGCTAAAATTCATGTCATTGACTAGAGTGACTGCAACTGATCAGGAGCTGAAAGAGGACAGGAAAATTTAGGAAGAAGGGCCCTTTCCCTCAGAGCTTGAAGGCTTCTCTGTAGCCTACGCCAACAAGTCTGGGGGAAAAAGGCTAACACTTTCAATATTTAAGCTTTTTGGGCACTTCCCATGGGAAGCTGTCCCTACCAAAGTGGCCATAGGCTGCAGTCCTCTGATAAATTGGCTTCTTCAGATCCAGATCCCTGGAATATACAAGTCCGTAACTTAATATGTAGCATTCAATTAAAATAAAGCAAAACAATCAGCAAGACTCATTTTCAAGACTTCTGGCAAATGAGTTCAGTTCTCTGGGGTATGCTAGGAAAAAAGTTTGTGGCAAAAATGTGTTACTTCCCTGGTGTCCAAACTCCTTGCACAGTCCTTATTAGTAACTATAGTTCTTGTTTTTCCGTCCCTGGCTCAACAAATATGAAAACTTGTCATTATTCTGAGAAATTTCAAGTATGAAAAGCTCATTTGAGATCATGGAATACTTACCAACGTCCATGCCCACACCCTACCATGATTATTTTCTTTTTAACAGCCTTGAACATTCCACTTATCTGTACTAATTTCTTTTAAATAAACATTCTCAGGTAAGATGAGCACAAAGGCCAGTTATCAACTGTGGAAGACTTTCTAGGGTGATTAAGTCTAAGCCATTGAGCACTATACTTTTGGATTTTTCTTAATTTAAGCCTTTACTGAAGGCAATTTAAAAGGTAACACCAACACATTCTAGGAATTAAAATGTTTCCCCACTTGAGGAGTATTCCTTCACTTTCACCTTCTCAGATTTGAATATATCTCAAATATATACACACACCCCACACCCTCAATATTTTTCACTAGCAATAGGCTTTACCATCTTTACCTGACAATGACCCCAGGGCGGAGGTCAAAATTCTTCTTCACAATCTCTAATAGCTCTCTCTCACTCTTCTGAGAGGTGCCATAATGGAAAATGGAGATAGACAATGGATGAGAAACTCCAATAGCGTAAGAGACCTAAAAGGATTAAAATGTCTTTTAAGAGTCAGTCATCAAAAGACCCACACACTTGTACAATACACTGGTATACATAAATCAAGTAGGTAACTAAATGTCCCCCCTCCTGCTGCTAACATGCCTTTTAATCAGTCCAGTTACATAAAAGAGTATATACCTGAACAAGAACCCTTCTGCATAGACCTCCTTTAACAAGGGATTTTGCTACCCAACGAGCAGCATAAGCAGCGGAACGGTCCACCTTGGTATAATCCTTTCCTGAAAAGGCACCTCCTCCATGAGCTCCCCAACCGCCGTAAGTATCCACAATGATTTTTCGGCCAGTTAAACCAGCATCACCCTGAAATTACAGGATTTAAGTCACTTTATGCCTTATCCTTTCCAGTAAGTGGTTCTAGGTGAAGTTTTTAAAATGCTATTTCTGTATCACTCGGCAAATATCCTCAGAAGATTCACATGCAGGCCTCAAAAAACCTAGAAAAGAGGTGGTAGAAGCCAAATTTTTGCAAGTAACCATTACAAAAGATCCTAAAAAGTAAACTGAATCGGCATTTTAAGGCCTTACCTGAGGCCCACCAATAACAAATCTGCCACTTGGCTGTAGATGATAGATTGTATCCTCATCAAGATATTTTGCAGGCACAACTGCTTTGATGACTTTCTCCTTTAGAGCATCCCTCATCTCATCAAGACAAACTTCTTCATCATGCTGAACAGATATAACGATTGTGTGGACTCTGATGGGAAGCACAGCACCTCGATCCTGCATATACTGCACAGTCACCTTGAAGGCAACATAGGTCATCAGAACATCAGTCTAAACAATGGTTTTTTTCTCAGTCCTCTACCCTAAGTTCCAATACAAAAGACAAATGCTATTCTTTTTTTAATTAGTTAGCTTTAATCAAAGAACTTTACTAATATTCTAGGCCAATATAACATACGTAATCTAGCTTCATGATCATCACTTACTTGAGTTTTAGAATCTGGGCGTAACCAAGGCAAAGTGCCATTACGGCGTAGTTCAGCCAGTTTAGCATTGAGCTTGTGTGCTAAGACAATGGTTAAAGGCATACATTCCTCAGTTTCATCAGTGGCATAACCAAACATCAAACCCTAAAAAAGGAAAAGTCGCCAATGTGATCAATCCAAGCCTCAGAATTTAACGTTAGAAGAGATGAAAATAGCGTCTCCCACAATACCTGATCTCCTGCACCAATGTCTTCCTCATTCCGGTCAAGATGAACACCTTGAGCAATATCTGGTGACTGCTGCTCCAAGGCTACTAGCACATTACAAGTCTTATAGTCAAACCCTGTAACAAAACAATGTCTTGTTTTTTAAAAAGGCCACAGCAATACTTTCTTAACAATTATCTGGAATTCTAAATACAGTGGATCCAGGCACAACAAATTTGCCACTTGGCTAGAGATGATAGATTGTATCCTCACTAAGACATTTTGCAGGAACAATGGGTTTGAACTGTGTGGGTCCACTTATACGTGGACTTCCCCCATATACACTTGGCCCTCTGTATCCCCAGGTTTCACATGTGCAGATTCAACTAACTGCAGACTGGAAGCAGAATTTTCAATCTGTGGATGTGGAGGAATGGCTAACTGTATGCATTATTCTACTCCATTTTATATAAAGAATTTGAGCATCCTCAGATTTTGGTATGAGGGGTCCTGGAACCAAGGGATGACTGAGTTTTGGTGGAGTCAAAAGTTATACATGGATTATCAGTTGTGCAGGGGAGGGTGTCAGTTGTCAGGTGAGCACCCCTAACCCCCATGTTGTTCAAAGGTCACCTATACTGCTAAAGAAGTCAAACATTCCTAAACTTAATACTTTTGGAGAATGGAGAGTAGTGTTGAAACAGAAGGATAGTAAAACTATACAATTGGAGTTAATGATTAGCAGGAACATCCTAGAAAGTAGAGGTAGAGAGGGCTGAACAAAATATCTGGAAAAATGAGGAGCTTAGAAAAGCCAACTCATTAAAACACACCTTTAGAAGAATCATCATATCCAATGTGTTTAATCGTTTCACGAACCACTTTCTGGTAGTCAATAGCAGCTCTGGATGTAATTTCCCCAGCAAGAAGGATCATTCCAGTTTTAGCAACAGTTTCTAGTAAAAAAGAGGTTCACACTCAAATGTCACTTTTATAAAGTAATTTTCATGATGCTACCTTTTTATCAGTAGATAAGCAGTGTTCTGAACTTACCACAAGCCACTTTGGCATCAGGGTCCTGCTGAAGGTGAGCATCAAGGACAGCATCACTGATCTGGTCACAAATCTTATCTGGAAAAAAACAATTCCTGGCTCAATTTCTTTACTGTTAATATAAGTATGTCACGCCCCCTTCCTTATAACCACAGCTGTAAAGAACTTTAGTGGAACTTCCTTTTTGAAGTTGTAATAAAACCTACATAACATAAAATTTACCAATTTAAACATTTTCAAGCATACAATTCAGTGGCATTCCCAGTATGGAGATCTTAACTGCCATACCTAACTGCTACTTTACCAGAAACCATTTGCCCAAAGAATAAATGCTAGATGTAGTGTTACATGTTACTTGAAAACTTGACACCATGGTCTTAATATATAGCTGCACCACAAGCTCACCAACTGAGATAAGACAGAACACCCAGCATTTTTAATACATTTAAACTCATTATGGCATATGCACTTTACACCTGACATGGACTTCAGTTCCTTCTCTAAAGTATTCCAGACATTTTGAAAAATTAAATTCCCAAAGTAATTTCTATTGTTAAACAGAATAGCTATGTTATTGAGATTAATCAAGTCAAAGTAGAGATAAAGTGGTTTATCTTCAAATCCAAAAGCAAAGGTAGGAAACATTTAGCTTTGGAGTATTTATTACTTTTTAAACAACAGTCCTTAACAGCTTATCCACAAGATTTGAAGTCTGCATTTTAAGTCTAACCAACCAGAAAGGTAAACTGTTGTTTGTCTTGTTAATTTCTCCCTGATCCTGAGGAACACCAACTAGGGCAAAGAAATCATGTCAATTAAAGAGTTAAACAACGAAAGCAAGGACACTGAACAAAAGGAATAAAATGGCCTATCATTTGATTTTATTACGAGTAGTCCAGAAACAAGAGATGAACAGACTGCGAAATGCCCAAAAGTATTTTGAATCTTTGTTGATTTTTCTCCCCACTGTAATACTACCAATTAAAAACTGGGAGGGGAACAGAAATAACCTTAATATCACATTCCTGAATTTTCTATAACTATGCAAAACAATTAAAGTAAAATGTATACTGCAGTCAAGCCAAAGGCTCAAGACAATCTACAAACTGTTGTAAATGCCAGTAACTTAAATGATTAAGTTAATAAAAGGTAGGTCGAATACACATGTTAAGTTCTCAAAACTAGAAAAACAAAAACACTAGAAAACCCCACACCACACCAAAACACCTGACCTTCAATTCATCAGGTCTTGGGGTTTGTCCTGTCCTATACTACTAGGTTGCTTGTGGAATTTCATCAAAAGCACAGGTTTACTAGAGAGAAATGAGAAATGGATCCTTAAGCCATCAGACTAGGTAACTATGTCAATGTGGTCAACCTAAGAAAAGTCAGAAGCAGTCCATTAAAATAATCTTCTTTACCAAGTGATGTTTTCAGGCTGAGATTGAAAGTTCTTTGAAATAGCTTCATTCGTTCTCGTGTAAACTGATCCCCATAATGGCGGATCAGTGGACAAAGCCCAGAGAAGGAGACGTGAAGTAAAACCCTACCTCTAACGATATGCACCAAAGACTTTAAAACGCAATGGCAGCTTATGCTTAATTCATGCTTCCCATCTTTTTCACCCACGGCCCAAATAAGGTATGTCTTCAACACGCGCTATATTTAGTTGGAGGCTGTCACCTCGAAGGCGAGGCCATATACTGCCTAGGGGCATGTCCGTATTCTTCAGTGAGTAGGAATGACCTAAGCCAAGGAATTCATGGAAAAGGCGTCCCAAGGCAAGGGGCCCCCTACTCGGCACACCGGAGCTCTCGGGCAACGGGATGGCTCCTGGGGCCAGATGCCACATGCTGCAGACACGTGGTTGCGGCTGCAATGCGGGGCGCGCGCTCCCGAGGATCGGACGCGAGCGTTCGGGGCGGGTCACCCACTCGAGGTTTTTCGGACCGCAGGACCTAGAGCAGGAAATAGTGTCCTCCCCGGGTAGAGCACCAGCTGCCGCGGCCCCCGCCTTTCTCGTTTTCTGGAATCTTCCGCAAGTCGGGGCGCGCGGCCGGATGGGAGGGGAGGGGAGGAGGGGAAAGGAAGGGGGAGGGGAGAGGCGGCCACGCGCTCTGCGCCCGCGGCGCCACGAGGAAGGCGCGCAGTCGCTGCTCTTCCCACCAGAGTGGGCACCGCCGCCAGCCGGACTCGGCCAGGCGAAGCCCAGCTCCACGCCCCGCCCCGCCCCTCGCTTAGCGCCAGGGCCTGTCATCTCACCTGGGTGGCCCTCTCCTACAGACTCCGAAGTGAAGAGGAACGTGCCCTCCTCGATGAACGCCTCGTGGAAACCGTTGAGCTGCCCGTTCATGGTGGTGGTGGTGACAGTAGCGGTGAGTGAAAGTGGCGTTGAAGAGAGAGGAACGGTGAGGCGAAGACTGCGAAATGCACACGCAGAAGACAACGTTCCACTCTGCTCGGGCGGTCGGCGCTGAGTGAACGAGGCGGCAGGCGGCTTGGCCCACTATTTATATGCAGCGCCCGCGCGCGCCCGGCTCAGGCTCCGCCCCCCGGCGCCGCGCGCCTTTGCGTCACTCGCGCGGGGGGAAAGGGGTGCGGTGCGCCGAGAGAAGCTCAGGCTAAACCACTGTGCGAGGCGTGGGGAGGGAGCGGAGGTAAAGCTTCCCTCCGGCGAATATTTAGCTATCATAAGCATTTATAAGAAGGGGTAAGTGGAAACCGGAGTCTACGGGGTCATTGTACCCCTCCACGTTTGATGTGGGAGGAAAAGCGACAGGGCTTTATGAAGCTGTTCCCCTGTGCTGTGACATGGCACCTCCCTTCCGACCGTTGGCCGGGCTATCTGGCCGCGAGGTCGCGTCCCCCAGCGGTGACAGCGGGAATCGTGAAGGTTTTGTCCTCTGGCTGTTAGCGTGGATCTTTCCGGCCCCCACCCCC